CCCCAAAACCCCAAAACCCCAAAACCCCAAAGCATGCGATATAGAGTAAAAGTTTAAAATAGAAGAAAATAAAATTAATAAAAGTAAATATTGTCTTAATCCACGTAAATTTAGAAATTAATTGTATCAGATCAATATAATATCCTGAATAAAAGCAATTTAATGTCAGAGAATTCTATATTTGATGGTCCTCGTTTTGAAAACAGCGATGATCAGGAGATATACAAATTAGATCGATCCAGCAATTTATCCAATTAAAATTACCAAGAATAGTAAAGCCCTAATAAAATGATACAATCTCGTCTTTCCTAGTCCTAAAAGCCATTAGTCAAATAAAAGTAACATAACTCATGACCAATCTTTTTTAACTTTTTGCTAGAATTACAGTAGAGTAATTTGTGGAGAATGAGAAACTTGAGAATTAAAAATTCTGTTCATCCTTGCAGTTCTTTTTAAAGCACTCATTCAGAGACCTTAAACGCAGGAAATTCCATTATTGTCTTGCTCTTTGTTCTGTATTCATAGTTGTCATCTTCTCGCTTATTATCAATACAATTGTGTCAAAAGGACCCATAGTGTTCTTGAAGCTATCCGAAGGAACCAGAGGAGAAATAGATGGAGTAGTTACATCAAGTTATGTGGGAAGTATAGATATTGGAGCCTCAGATTTCAATACTTGGGGCACCTATTTAAATTTTTCTAAGTTTGAGGAGATAAATCAACCTCAGAACAAAGAGCTCTATCACTAGGACTTGAAATTATCCTTGTCCCCTAGGAAAAACTTCTGTGGAGTTTAAATGGGAAGTGACTAAACCAATAGAGCAATTTCAGATACTGACGATGAGGAGAGTATGAGAAACTGGAAAGCTGGGTACGATAACTCCACTGGGTTGCCATCTAGAGCCTAAGTCTATAATGGGAAAATTGATATGGAGTATTAGGTATGTATTTCTCTTTTCGATACAAAACTAGAAAAAGACTATGAGATTGGTAGATAGTATAAGTTCGAGCCACTAGAGTATGGAGAATGTAATGTCAACAAAAAGGCATTTAGTACATTAGGGGTGCAAGAAGGGGACATTGTTTATTTTGACCTCATTATATCTCAGTTTATGAACAATCTGCTTGTTAAATTTGACAAATACGCGAGTCACAATAATAAGCAAAGAATGTATTATAAAGGGCAAGGAAGCTAAGTCTAAAATACAAACGATATCACCTATGTGACCTATGAAACAAGAGTATTTTTGCCTTGCAAAGTAAAGAGATTAACAAGCGGCACCTATGGTAAATTTCCTGATACGAACATAGCTAATTTATAAATGATGGAATATAAGCATTTCCTCAAATTACTCTCTAATTATCTGCCGAACGATTATGATAAGAACTAGGATTTCAAGGAGTTCTTAAGAAATGAAAAACTAGTTAATTTGAAGGAGTATGCCGATGTTTTTTTGCTCTAACTCCCTAGGCCAAGAGTTCAGCACTACGAAGACTCCAACTATGATGTTATTTAAAAGAGAATCACAGTTTATGCCAGTTAGGCATCAACATAGCTTGGCTTCTACCCTATTTAGATCCAGCTAAATATCCTTGCAGATATGTAAACTTATTCTTAAGCTGTCATGTTTTTGGGTTTGATCTTTGATGTCATCATACTACTGTTTGTCATTCTGTCAATATTGCTGATTTATTCTCTTCTTATGATCAGTGTTGAGACTAAGACTTTCGAGATCGGAGTAATGAGAATGATTGGACTCTCTAAAGTAGGCCTTATTACACTCATCTGTTTGCAAAGCATAATGTTTGTCCTGCCAGCAATTATTCTAGGTTTTGCAGCATGCTTCCCTATTTTAAAGGGCATTTACGGATTTTTACTGACTGATGATCTTGGTATTCCAAATGATCCAGTACCTGATGGACTTGCTGTACTCTAAGCTCTTATTATAGGCATCATTATTCCGATTCTATCCTCAATTTACCCTATTAAAGTTGTATTAACCAAGAATTTGGGTGACTCTTTAGATTACAGTAGAAGCAAGACTTAGGCAATATATATTACCATCCTGAGAAATGATGATTATGAGCGAATCGGCAAATATGTACCACTGGGAATGATCACTACTGCTTATGGAATAGCTATCTATTATTTCTTGCCATTATCTCTCTTGTCAATGAACTTAGGCATGATCCTAAGAATATTCTTTTTAATTCTTTTGGCAATGCTTCTTGGTTTAACAATGCTAGCTCTTAATGTTTAAAGAATGTTGGAAATTGTATTAACTTATCTATTCTTGTTCTACGAGAAAAGAAGTATGAGGATGCTTGTATTAAAAAATCTTACAGCTCATAAACTGAGAAATATGATGACCAGCATTATATTCTCCCTGGCGCTTGGATTTATAATATTCTTGATTGTAGCTTACACGCTTCAGATAAAAACATCTCAACTTATACAACTATAGAGAAAAGGAGGATATATAGTATTAACGTCTGGAGATGACAGTGTAACTCACCCAAATGTAGTAGACCCTATACTATAGAAATACTCAGACCTTGTAGACTCCTACGCCTATATCACTGGTTCACTTGCGAGCATTGACGACGCTAAAATTTCAGATATCGAGATAAGCGACAAAGGCAAAGTAAACCCCAATAGAATGTAAATTTATGGAGTAACACCTTCAATCTACGATGCAACAATATCTGATTTCCTAGTAAAAGGAACCTACAATGAATCAACAGGATTACCATTTGGAGAATAGCTCTACACTGCAAGGGGATCCTAAGGTATAGGCATGAGCAGTGTGATAGCTGACTTGACTGATACAAATTATCCAGAAGAAAATTTTAGGAATACCGTGCTATTTTCAATATCTTCTAGTGTTTATAATAGGTTTTTCTAGCTAAGATCAATATTTGATAATAAAAAGTCCCCAGCTTTTATAATGACTGATAGAATGTAATCTGAAGGCTATAGACATCATGGCATAGTTAGTATGACTTCCTTTGTGCAATATGCTAACTTTGATTCCATGAAAAGAATAACCTTTGATAGAGTAATAATAAAGCTAAAGGATCCATTAAACATGAAGAACAGTGATGCCTTCATAAGTGGAATGAGGAAGACACTAACTCCTTACTAAGATAAAACTTTGAATGTGTATAATTACAACGACGGAGTAGAGAACGTCTAGAGAATGGAGACCATTCTCAACATGATCTTCAATGTCATTATTGCAATTACAATGTTCCTATGCTTCTTCTCACTATCTTCTTCAATGACTGCAAACTTATTCGAGTAGAGCAAGGAGATAGGTATAATGAGAGCCATGGGCCTGACTAAAGTTAGAATCATCTTGCTCTATATTTATGAAGCTTTCGTTCTTGTGATGGCTAGCAGTCTGCTAGGTATTCTAATTGGTACTCTAGTTGGTTTCAGTATGACTATGCAGTAAATGCTGTTTGTTGAAATACCTCTACAGTTCTTCTTCCCATGGATGCAGTTCTTATTGGTTATTGGATTATCGATACTCTGTGCGATACTTAGTACTGTTGGACCTACCAGAAATCTTGTTAAGAAATCAATCTCAGGTATTTTTAGAGTGAATTGATGTGATTTTATGGCGTATTAAGTTAAAGAATTTTTATAGATTATTTAAATTTACCTAATTTGTTTGTTATTCCTATATCTATTTGCATCTTGGATTTAGGGGTTTTGGGGTTTTGGGGTTTTGGGGTTTTGGGG